GCGGAACCCCAGGCCGGAGCTGAAGCGGTAGTCGAAGCCGAAGTCGAAGCCGGAGCCGGAGTCAGAGCCGGAGTCGGAGCCGGAGCCGGAGCAGGAGCAGGACCCGCACTAGCAGCAGCTCAAGCTCCCGCAGCCCCAGCTTGGGCTCCCGGAGCCACAGTCGGAGCCGGAGCCGGAGCTACCGCTCAGCGGACAGCTACTCCAGCACCAGGCGCTAAGCGAGCACCTTCCCTTGAGCCGGCTGCCCGTGGGGGCCCCTCTGGCTCCGCCAGTCTCCCCCACTACCTGCCCTCCCTGCCTTCTCCTTGGTGACAGATATTGAGGGCTCTTGGACCCTGTCCTCCCTGCTCTCCTGGGGAGGAGGGAAAAAGGGTACAGGGGTTTTACCTTCTATGTCGAGCTGCTAGGAGCCTCTACCAGCACCATCCCGGGGCTCACCTCAGGCCTGGGCCTACGGAGAAGCCATCCTCTTGTGGCACAAAAACAAAACAAAACACCCTCAAGGTTTTATGAGAAGCAGTGGGTCCATACTCAAGAGTTTGGGCCCAGCCAGGCAAGTGTGGAGACAGTTCTGCTCCCCTGCTCTCAGGAGGCTCCCGGAGAGGCCCCACCCACCCACCTCCCTTCATTCAACCTCATGGCTGCATGTTTGTGGACCCCCATGGCAGGAAGAGGTGAGAGACCCCAAAGGCACTTCAGGTCTGGGATTCTAGCCTTTCACCTCCCCAGACAGGCCAGAGCAAAGGCTGGGAGACTGTCCGAGAGTAAAGGACATGCATGCGTAGGGGACATGGGTATTTCATTGGTAGGAGGTGTCAGGAGGTAGGAGATGGGTTCTGGGGTTATGCTATGGAAGCAGAAAGAAACCGGTTCTGTACCTCCGCGTGGTCAGGGGAAGGAGCCCAGCAGGGACCAGCTATGGGGAATCTACCACGGCTTGCACAAAATGTCCCTGGCTGCCCTGCAACCCACCCCCCTTCAAGAAGGTTCACAGTGGGCCAGGCAAGACAGCTTACTCTACGGCCCCTCTTCCCAAATCTTCTCGGCCCCGCTAGCTGGCACCAACTTCATTTCGCAGGACCATCTGCTGAACATTCCCCAGTGCTGTGGCCAGCTGCCAGTCCCCAGCGCCAGCCAGTCTGGCCTTACCCTCTAGTTGGCGCCTGCCCGCCCCCTCCCCACTACCCAGACTGCCACACCCTGGCTCCTACCCAGTGCAGCCTGGCACCTACCCCCCCACCCTCCACCTAAGCCACTCCCCTCACCTCTCAGGAATTTTGCCAGGACGGGGCACAGCAGCTCAGGTTTGGGGGAGAAGACCCAAATCTAGAAAGAGTGGGGCTTGGATGTTTCCAGTCTGGGATTCCAGCTGACGTCTGAGGTTCCTAATCAGCTTGGGAAAGGCCCGTCTTTATTCCTGCCCTCACCCACCTTCCCTCTGCCCATGGCTGGGCAGTGAGGGTAAGCTGATCTCTGACACATAAATACCACCAGCTGCTTCATCCACAGAAAGCATGAGAACAGGGAGGTGAGGGAGAGGATCCTTAAAATAAACTCTCGGGCATCCCCTTCAGCTGACTGGCTTTCCGGAGCCTCGTGGGTGAGTTTCAAGTTTATGGTAGCAACAGCAGCAGGACGGGGCATGGAGGCAGAGAGGAGGACAGGGCAGTTTCTGGGTAAG